GCAATCCGCGGTGACAGCTGCCCCCTCCCCCGTTCAAGTGCCTCGTGTAATTTTAGGCGCCACTCTCCAGGGGTCAGGAGGATTGGGGAAATAAATAAAGTCGAATCGCAGGTTAGAAATGAGGGAATCTTGGCCAGGCCGAACACAGAAACAAACTCAATCCGGCCACGACTTCGATTTGACTGGGCCAGATAGACAGCCGGCGTTAGTTGGCACACTCGAAGAATTTGACGGACAACGAAAATCCGAACAAAGCCTTATTCCTTCAATGCCCGAACTTCAAGGGGTTTCTTCGTCAAGTCGTTAATTTGATGGGATTTTTCAAGATTTATGAAATATTTGGGGACAGATAATATATTATGTTATTCTATATTATGTGTTTATTATATTTATTTTAAACCAATAAAATTACTCGAATTATAAAAAGAAGGCTCTTTTTGTGAATTTCAAGCATTATTTAGTTTATTCGAAATATTTAATTATACGTTGGAATTATTTATAGTACATATAAATAAAGTTTTAACCTTTATTTTAACATTTAATATGGTTTTTATGGTCAGAATTCGTGGTCAAATTTTTAATATGTATTATAAGTATTTATTAATATTATTTTATTACAAATCTCTGGCAGTCTTGAATTTATTTTTATGTTTGATTACAAAGCTTTTAAGACTTCCCAATAAAATGTGCTTGAAATTCTCTTCAACATCTTTTACTTAATGTTCCCCAATTTCGTATGATTTACTTCAATATTAATTAATCCAGTTCCTGAATAATTCTCCGAGTGAAGCTGCCAGTTGGCGAAAAAGTCATAAAAGCAGTGAGCCCAGTGCCATTCTCATGCCCATTCCCAAACCAATCCATTCCCCCAGCCATTGCCGTCTCCACTCCCCCTGCCATTCCCCAATTGCCAATTATGCCGCAGCAGCAGCCCATTCCGTCTTATAGCATCCTAAACCATTCCATCCTATGCCTATACCATCCCATACCATCCCCATCCTCAAGACAAGGCAACGCTGCAAGTTGCAAGTTGCAACTATCGAGGATCGGTCGCCGTCGATCGCTGTCTGCAGCATTCGACACTGACGCCAACCGGTGTACGAAAAAAAAGAAAAGTGGGGATTTTCAGAGGAGGGGTACCTGGGTATCCGAGGATACACCAGCATCCACAGCTACAAGATGGCTGCTGCCAATCCCGCCCGCACCAATGCCAACTCCCCCAGATCGCAAAGGCGACGTTCTCTTGTCGTGCCGAGGTGGCATTCGCTGGGAAAAGTGCCTCCAGATACAGATACTCGCACTTCATACGGCAAATAATTTCATTTGCGACGCTTATCAGGCGCCACTTTGCGACGCAATCGGTGACAATTGCATAATCCGGCTGCAAATGCCGAACATTTAACATCGCTCTAATCGCACTGACGAGCCATTTCTCGCCCGCTCGGAGATTGGAATGTTTTCAGCTGGGATAGTAGAAAAGCTTTAGTTAATTAAAGTCCTGGAGAGCACTCTTTTAACTAAATGGTTCATATGTCGGGATAGCTCAGCCAGGTCAAACACTTTTGTATCTGCGCTTAGTACATTATCCAGTACATTAATAGTTTTTAGTCTTCAATATTTAGTATTTAAGACTACTATCATTTTTTAAAATTACTATTAGTTAAACTAGTTAAATTTTCAATTATTTCTTGATATCATTTAAACATGAAGCTATTTTATATAATGCTTTAAGAGGTAACTGTTTTGTCTTATTTAGTTTGAGCTTTCATTTAAAAGATGCGTATATAGATAGTACTATAATGAAATTTATTTCATGTACGCCTGTATTTAGATATTATTCGTAGTCTTACAGGTTTCTTGTTAACAAAACAATTTATAAAAAAAGTTTTAAAATACTAATCAAAAAACAGGCCTCATTTGACTTTTAAGCTATAGCTACGATTGGCATTAAAGATTTTAAAAATTGCTATCAATCGAGCGGCTCATTTGCGTTTCTGCTTGTAAGATTATATTATGCATAAAGATTAAAAATGCAAAACAACGTGTTTTATAAAATTCAGCTATCGGAAATACCTTTTAAAATTTCGGCTATACCATAGTAAGTATTTAAGTACCAACTCCATATTTCCATTGCATTTCTGAGACAACCGTATGATACTTACGGTTCTGAAACTAAAACATTTATATTTATATTTGTATTTATATATTTATTTATACTTATATATTTATATTTATAAGTTCGAAAGGCCTTAAGAGATATGCCCCTATAAATCAAGTATTACACAAAATTTATAAGTCGCTGAATATCCAAACACGAGCTAAGCCAGAGAAACGACATACGGGGTCTGACTTGTTTCGATAAGTATTTTCAGATTTTGAAATACAAACTGCTGCAAATAACTAAACAATGAAATACATACATTTAAGATTTACTATACTTACTGATAGACTATATATACTTTTTCTAGAAGAAAGTCCATAAGTCAAAAATAAAAAAGTATATTTATATTTATAAAAAGTTTTATTTTCCAAATTAGACTTTTATTTGATTTTTTGGATTTATGATGCTAGATTTGTAAATAAAATATTCAGTGCACAAGCTGTCAGGTCGTTCCACTGAATATGACATACTTTTTTGTTTAGCTTGTATTATCATTAATGTAAAGTTTGTATTTCATTTTTTTTACGCCCGAACTTAATATAATATTTAAATTATATTATATGGTATTGACCAATTATTATTTATTATGTTTACCATTAACTTATTTATATATATATACAAGTTATTAGCTCTAAGTATGTCATTGTACATGCTATATTTACTCTCACTCGCCTGGGAAAACCGGGCCTTTTATCGAATCCCGAATAAAATGATAAATAAAAGACATTTATTTGGGCACATTTATGAGTCGAGCACGCTTCTCCTGCCCACGAGATACATTTACCCATCCGAAAACGAATCCGAATCCAAAGAGTGCGGGCATACAAATTAGTGCGCATCTGCGCCATCGAGGCATTCTGGAGAAGCTCGGGGGGAATGGGAGTAAGAATGGAACTGGGAATGGGCAGGGGGTACGGAGTACTACACGTCTTGACATTTGCATCTTGAAATGCAAGTGAAAGATACAATCCCAATCTGTGTATCCAGATGCGCCATTGTCACTGTCATCGGCTGTGGCTTCCTTTCGGCTAGAACTCTCCTTGCGGATGATAAATGACGTCGATTCAACAAATTGCCACACATACAGGGCCCAAACCAAACCTTTGGCCAATTGAGAAGGAAATCAACTCGGTCTATCACCCACATATATGTTCGTACTGCCAAGTTAACTCCCCGATTCTGAGGGGGTGGGATATTCCGCTTGTGCCGCCCTCTAAATTTCCATTTGACAGTGTCTCAGGAATTAATTCGGAGCTGTTTTAAATATTTCTTCGCATAATAAAAGCCACACGAAACAGACGGCTTCAAGTAGAATTGAATTTTATGCAAATTAACTTCCACTTTGGTTTACAAGTTGCATGCCAGAGGGATTTCATAATTGATTATAATCCTTTCACATCCCTTCTTATCGATCTTTTTTTAAATGCAACATATCATAAACAGAATACTTCAATAAAATGTTTTACTTAAACTTTTACCTTTATATTTTTATGGATACATGAAAATAAGAAAGAACAAATCCGTATATTGCTAATTTCAAAATCTCCATTCCTTTTGTAAAGTATTATTCATACAAAATTAATAATTTCGGGAAAATATTATACGTATGTTTAAAATCCTAAACTAAATAATTGATCATACTTCCCAGAGATGCTTCTTTTTTTTACCAGTTCATAATTTTTGTTCCTTTTAAATTAATAATTGTAAATATTTTCCAAATAATTTTTTAATAATTCAGGGTCTATCTCGTCCGCACGTTAAGCTAAAAGTAGTTTAACCTCTAAACTTTATTATCTGCTCTCTTTGATGAAAAAACAGTCTCAATGCTTTAAAAACCTATAAATTGATTTTCAAAAACCTAAAAATGCAGACTTCTCAAACCGTTAAGAAAGTATTAGATAAGTCGTTATAAACTACATAAATGAAGATTGGAACTACTCTTCTTCTTCTTCTTAAGTTAATATATATTTTTCAGGAACGAGGAACCAAAAAATATTGATTTCCTTATTTATTTTAATTGAAAAATCGTATAATTAGTCAGAAAATTCAACTTATTTCGAATAATCATGCCAACCAGCCTTCAGTCATCCAGCGAAATCAGCGAGCTTTTTTCCGCGAGGCACGAGGGCTGCAACAAGCGCAGTGCGCCCGGTTCCCTGGTCGAATGTTTTTGTTTGTTGTGTGTTTTTCTTTTATTTTGCGCGTTTAAAAGTGTTTAAAGTGATTTTTGAGAGCAATGGAGCTGCCGAAGGAGTTATCCATTGCGGAGATCCGCAATTACATGCTGGCCAACGACTGCAAGGTGACAAATCATGCGTTGGTCAAGCACTTTAAGAAATTCCTCACCCATCCGCAGTCGCAAAGTGAGTCATTTGTGTTTGTTTTGGGGGTCTTGGTTTTGGAACCTGTTGAATTGCCAGAAAAGCCTATGAAAACTTGGTTGTGAAATGCATGTCTCGATGATTACCCATTCCAGATGAGGCCGCAAGCGTTTCAAGACCTTTGTGACCCTGCTCTCCACGATAAAGAACGAGAACAATCAGAAGTTTCTGATATTGCGCAAGAAATATGTGAATGAGTGTCCCACGGAGGAGGTGGTGGAGCGCGCGGTGGCCGCCGCATCCGGGGACCCTCGAGTCCCGGCGGCGCATCCCTGAACTTCGACTCCCCCATGAGACAGCCACCGCCTACAAGAACCCCCCATGGTCACATCCCCGCCAGCGGCAGCCGTTTCCATCGCCAAGGAGCACCAGGAGAACTACCAGGAATGCGTGGACGAGTTCACGGCTGCCATTAAGCGCATAGAACCCGCCCGCTTGGAGAAGCAGCCCTCGTTAAGCCGGAGGATCAGGATCAGCCGGAGCAGCCAGCCTCCCGCTCCAACTCCATCGATGTGACGAGAACAAGGAGAACATACCCCGCTTCTCCTTCTCCTCGGAGGCCTCCACCGACTCCAGTCCAATGAAAAACCGGAGAAGCAGAGACCAATGGAACCCCTCCGCCGATCTGGCCGAGAATCCCATCAGCGTGAAGGAGGCCACGCGCAAGTTCAACCGGATGGCTTCCGAAGAGGAGGCCAAAATCATATCGCCGCCAGCCAAGAAGAAGCCAGAGAAGGTGAGTGACTGAAAACCGGTTAAGGGGCCATTGCCCACCATGCGGGCTAGGGTTCTTCGGGTGCGGGTGACTTCAGGGCCCTTCCCTCCCAGCGCTGCCGCAATTTGTTGCATTTCCTGTGTGTCAGTGGGAAGATTCGCTTCAAGACCATTCAAATATGCGACTTTTTTGCCAGGGCTTAGTTGTGATTAATTATCACAGAGCTACGAATATTTCCATAAAAAGTGTCCAGCGAAGGGACTTTATTTGTACGAGGGTTTTTAGTTCTGTTCGACTTTCCTTAGCACAAGAAATGTTAACTTTACTTACAGAGAAAAAACTCTCACGGCCGAACAGTTGAATTTGAAAGCATCAAGTTTAGCATTTAATAATATAATCTATATATTGAAAATTGCATTTTTTGATTTCTCTCTCTTAAAAACATATCGAATAAATAAAAAATAAAAAAGGAGGAGCAACCAAAACCATTGCAAAATTGTTTTAAGAGTGTTATGTTAGGATACCTGAAGATAAAATTCGTTCTTTCTGAGTTTTAAACATATAAAAGTGGAACGGGGCTTTTCAATTAAAATACAATGGCATCAAAACTATATATATCTTTCATTTATTTGTAATCATTAACAGGACAAGGTTTTTCAAGATTATAAGAAGGTGTAATAAGTTCAACAAACAAATATTTTCATATTTACCATATCTTTTTCTAGTTTTCAATTTCTTCCATAGATTTTAATTTTTAATGAGAGATGTATTTCTAAGCGTATATTCTGCAAATTAGGATTAAAAAAGTAGTAGCAACCCATCACTGCTTATGACTGAATTGCAACACAGAGCTAGCTGGTATTCCTCGGCTACAAATCAGGGTCAGATTAGATCTGGGGGCCCTTGAAACCCCGAGCAATTATTGTCAATGCACCAGTGGCTGTCCCAGGCTTTGGGCCACCTCAAGTGGAACTGCTGGCGGAATAGGTGGAAAAGCGGGAGTGGCAGAATGGCTGGCTCGAACTGAGCCGGTCACCCAGCTGTCTGTCAGTTCCCAGAGCCTTGTCACGAATTGCCACCAGCACAGCCCGAATTGAATAAATCCATTAATTTTATTAGTGGACAATATAAATGTAAGTCTCATAAAACTACATGCGCCTGCATCGTTCCGTTCGCTTTTCTGTCCGCATTTCTGTCCCGGCTTTGTCGCCGCGCATTCGAGAGCTGAAGAGCCGAGGAGCTGGAGAACTGGAGAGCTGATGCCCGACATGTGTACGTACATGTGCGGACACATGTAGTCCGATTCCGAATTCGATTCCCGGTCCGATGTGTTTAGTAACTTTGTTCCATCAACTGGCCATGACGACACTTGGGCCGGGCGTTTGCCCAGCAAGCTGTTTTTCCGCTCGCCTTTATTTTCTTTTTTTTTTGATACCCCAAAAGCCTATTATGTGTACAAACACATCGCGACAAGCCAGGAATGAGTTACGTGAGAAATTTTGCGGCCAATAAATGCATGCATGCCGGGCTGGCACTCAGAAAAATATCCATTCAGATAGACTCGGTAAAATAACATAGGATTTTGAATGTTTTTAAGCCAGTTTTAGTTTCAAAGTCATTTTATTTCATTGAGAAATATTATACATTTTTTTCGATATTAGTAAATGGGTTTTTAGGTTGGCACACTTTAAAAAATTTATAAAAACCTCCCCTAAACTCACTCCAAATTTTAAGATACTACTTTTCGTAACATTTATTAATTTTCATAAGTCCCAACTAAAACTAATAGCCTGATTAAACGACAAACATATCCTCAAAATTTCATTTTATAACATTGGGTCATTGGATCGTCATATTACAACAATTATTTTTGTAAAGGAAAGAATATTGCAGAATTAAACGATTTTAGTCTTAACGCAATAAATTTCATAACAATAATCATTTATTATATTAAAAAAAAATAAGTTTACTGTTCATCTTACAAACCGTCCCAAATTATTCTCCTAGTATTTATTTATTACAAGACTCACAATTAAATTAACTAGTTTACAAGAAAAGTTAAATTCAAAACAAGGAAGAACGCTATAGTCGAGTACCTCGACTATCAGATACCCGTTACTCAGCTAAATGGAGATATGCAAGCAGCAAAGCGAGATTAAAATGCGCCACCTACCGGCGTATACAGATTTAAGCGTTATGGCGTTAGAGTGGGCGTGGCAAATTTTTTTTTGGACCAATCGATAGGTATTGTCGAGACCAATACATTTCAGTTAAAATTTTTTATCTAGCATAACAATTTTGGGCGTCACAGGTTTTCGCGGTTTGTGGGAGTTAGAGTGGGCGTGGCAAATTTCTTTTTGGATCAATCGATAGGTATTGACGAGACCAATACATTTCAGTTAAAATTTTTTATCTAGCATGAAAATTGTGGGCGTCACAGGTTTTCGCGGTTTGTAGGCGTTAAAGTGGGCGTGGCAAACTTTTTTTTGGATCAATCGATAGGTATTGATGAGAACAATACATTTCAGCTAAAATTTTATTCTAGTATCAAAACTGTAGGAGCCACAGTTTTGGGCGGTTTGTGGGCGTTAGAGTGGGCGTGGCACTGTGCTGAAATAAACTTGCGCTGCGTAAGAAGCTCAGGAATCTGCACGCCAAATCTCAATAGCCTAGCTCCCATAGTTTCCGAGATCTCAGCGTTCATCCGGACGGACAGACAGACGGACAGACGGACAGACGGACAGACGGACAGACGGACATGGCTAGATCGACTCGGCTAGTGATCCTGATCAAGAATATATATACTTTATGGGTCGGAAACGCTTCCTTCTGCCTGTTACATACTTCCGACGAATCTAGTATACCTTTTACTCTACGAGTAACGGTATAATTAAACAACTTTTAAAGTTCATTTTTGAAAAAGGAATAGAAAATGTTTAATGAAAAAACAGAATTAACACAAACAATTAAAAATATATTTCTATAAAAAAATGGTTGTATGCTCTCAGGCATACTCACCACAAATCTTTAACTTACAGTCATTCTATATCCCCAGATTTATTTTTTCAAAAGAATAGGCAAATTATATGGCAATAGAAACCCTCAACACTTTGAACGAAATCCACTTAGATGTCGGCACATACATATATAATTTGTAGCGTGTCCGTTTCAAGATTCTAATTTAGAAATATCAATCTCGGAAGCATGTGGCAGTGGAATTTGTCAAGCGTTACGGAAAAATCGTTTCTTAGTTAATGTTACACGATATAGTAGTGCAATTGGGCCGAGTTGTCAAACAACTGTCATCCACTTAGGCCTGTCAATCACGCAATTTAGAGTTGAGACCGAATATCCCCAGTGCATAAATCATCCGAATCTGTCTGCGAGACGGATGGTCCCATCCGAACGTATCCCATCCCATCCCTTTGGATCATGTTTAGCGGAAGATGCTCTGCAGCAGTGGATGTACGTCAAACTAAGATTGTCAACGGCACGTCAGATGCTATAAAATCCCACTAAAACATCGGGAAGCGAACTTAAGTGCCTATTTGTACAGACGTTCGGACATGGAAAAATCAAACTCGTCCTTATATTGGGAATCTATTTCAAAGCATCACTGCCGCAACTTTGAAATTCTCACGTATTTCATGTTTTCGGATTTACACATCCCATTTTTGAGCATCGAAATTAAAAATATAAAAACTAAGTCAAAATTAAATGGAAGCCATACTTTTTACTATCTTATATGGTTTTCAAAGGAAAACATTACATCTTAACATTAAATAGCTGACATAGGCGAACATTTTTCCATTCATTTTTTGTCAGTCTAATTCTCATAATTTTTATAAAAGAGAAAATTTGAATATTTCATTTAAATGAATGAATTCATGTGAAATAGTTTGCATGAGCCAATCCCCTTTTTTCACACATGAAAACAGTTAAAAGAGTTGATAGCCCCTATTTAGACCATTGAGGATAAAGAAAGTATATAAGCGCTTACAGCTTGTTAACAAATTGATTCGCTAACAAGACACACCATCATTTCTGATGGCGCCAACCGTCTTCACGCAATTATTAAAATTCAGTTGTAAACAATATTGGGATAGGTTTGATGGATGCTCTTTTTTGGTTCATCAAAAGAAATAACTAATCATTGCGGGCCGAAACGAAAGTGACGCATCATGTTCCTAGGAATTTAAAGGAGGAATTCTAATTCATGGGATTTTTTCCGCGTGACCAAAAAAACGGGGAGCAAGATCCATCATGACGAACCGTGAAATTTTGGCGTCGCAACTGTAACTATGGGATCTGAAGTCTTAGCTAGCTGATCAATTAAATTCGTTTCGATCGTTTTTAATTAGCCCGATGATTTGGCATTTTCTACGCTCACTCAGCACCGTTGTGCGTTGGGAAAGGATTGATTAATTTACGCCCCAAACAACAAGCGGATTTAAAAAGTATTTTTTTCTTGTTTAAATAACTAATATTGATAGAAGTATTATAATTTGAGTTGTTGCCCAATTTTGATTAATGAAAGCGGAAAGGTTAAGGGAAAATATAAAATGTTTGGTTCAAGCTTAAACCTTGAAAACAAAAATTGGTTAAATTGTATTTTCGTGCTGTTTACTTGGATTGAAATTCCTAAACAAAGTTTGAAGGAACTTTGAGCTTATTGTGTAAAAGAGTTTAAAAAATTAAAATGATTAACTGCGTGGTCTTATTTTATGTGATTATGAATTTCATTGGATTTTTAAGAAATTAAGTTATTAAACCTTTACATTTTTTTTCCTACGAACTATTAAAATCTATATATTTCATGAGGTACATTTGTAAAAAGAAATTTAAAAATATTAAAGTACTACTATGGAAAAAGGATGGAAATTTTTTTGTTAAATAAAAATAACTTTTCATCCCCCCGATAAATACACTTATGATACCGTTTTTTCCAATTCTCGAAACATGCCAAATAGTCGCTTTTCGGTTTATCCACTAGCGCATAACGCTCAAAAAATATTTCTTATTAACATTTTGGGCGGGTAGTAGGAATTCACAGTAGTAGCATTGTTTCATCTTAAATTCCTGAAATGAAGTTCCCTTTCCAGTTTAAATAAAACAAACAGCAAACAAAAACTAATGCAAAGTTTCGTTGATGTTCTGTGACTCTAATTTAAACCCCCTGGCATCACAAGTATCATTTAAAGCAAATCCCTTCCCAAAAGCGGACAGCAGCATCAAACAGACCGCATATATTCTTATTAAAATAGGGGCACCTCTCGTGTGTCCCAGAATGCATATAAAACTGCCAGCCGACCCACATCGAAACTAAGGCGGGGGGGGGTATCAGGATCGAGGGGCGTGGCAGGGACAAACGAACCCGTGGCGAAAACCCCTTTGCATAAAACAAGTTGGTGAAACATGTTAACATAGCCAATAAGCAGCAATAGAAATTAGTTAGGCAAAGCCATTCTCATCACGGCCATCCCAGCCACAAAGGACCCAATTAAAAATGTAAGGAAACAAACCAAAAGTTGTTATTGCTGTTAAACAACAACGGACTGTGTCCCGAAGCGGTTAAATTTACAACAGCAACAATTTCCACCCGTTCGCCGGACGAGGAGCATTCAGTCAGTCAGTTTGTCCGCCGCCCCGCCCCCTTTTGACAAAAACGGACGGAGTCGAATCCCCGGACCCTGGGAATGGCAAACACGACCATTTTGTGGCATCGGTCCAAAGGTAAGACTCGCCGGGCCAACGCAAACACTGAAGGGACATGGCCCAGACCCCGAGTCCCATAGATAGCCCCCGTCCTAGTATCCAGACAGCCTAGGACCCACCAGAACCCATGGCCAGGGCCACATCCTGGCAAAAGGACAACGGCCAGCTGTGTGATATAATATCGGGCATAAAGGGACCCGGGACATAAGAAAACTGGCCAACAAACAAGCGATTGGGGAGGATGAGTGGGCGGGCGATAGACAAGGGCAACCGGTACTCAACCCCCAGGTCCCCAGGTCTGGATTCGAAGTTGGAGTTCGAGTCCTAGTTGTCCTGGGTTTTCCCTTTTTTTCTTTGTTTTGCTGTCTCCTCCCTCTTCGTCCTGATAAAGCCATAAAAAAGCAACAAACCATCGAAATGGAGAGAATCTTGAGGGTGGGTAGCTGCAGTTAAAAAAATGGATATCATTAGCTTTAAAAAATACCACTAGAAATCTAGTAACAAGAGATATGTTGTTTCTTAAATTAGGTTAAAGTAAAGGTTATTTAATATCTATACTTTGTATTCAAAACTAAGCTTATTCTTAAATCTCAACTAACTTAAAAGATTTTGTATAAAAAGTCTTATCTAGACCCTTTCCAAAAGTTTTTAATGTATATATTCATAAATAGAATTAAAACATACATGCTAGCAGATGTGGTAAATGTTGCAATACATTTTAAAATACATCCAGTTAATCAAATCTTAAGGAAGTGTCAAGTGACATACACAACATAATTTTGATCTATGTTGTGATCTAAGACCTTTAACTATAATACTGTTAGAACATAATAATCATTAACTTAAGCTATATAAGAAGGTTATGTCAGTTTATCGTACAAAATAAAACTAAGTTTCAGCTACAGTTTCTTTAACAATACTTTTTGAACGTATAATTGGGGAACTAGGTAATTAGTTCATGTATTCAATATTTGCAATCACATTCATCATTTTTTCAAAGTGTGGTGGGCGGTTCATTTCAGTTTTGTTCGGTTGGGTTTCTCCTGAATGGGGTTCGGTTTTGGGTGGGGCTCTTTTGTTTAGCATTGACATGGCCACTTTGCCAGGGGCCCTGCGTCTCGATGTTTGTACTGTTTTGTGATGTTCTGCTGCTGTTTCTGTTCCTGTTCCTGTTACGCCTGTCGCCTCGCTCGCTCAAATGCACGACTTCGAGTCCCCCGATTCGACTTCCAGAATGCCGTACGTAGTGCTCGTTACCAAAATGCTCGGCATTTGCAAATGGCGACTGCCCTTACCTGGGAAAAATCGGACCGAGCACCGAACACCCGCCCGTAATTGGGAAAACGTGAGCTCTCCAGGAGTCAAGTGGCGTGTAAATAGATGCGGGGCTGAGATGAGGTCCTGGCACGCGTTCTGCGCATCCTGCGGCTAAATGCGGCATTCAAATGTCGTAGTATTTATTAGCTGTGTAATGTTGGGCCTGGATAATAAAGACCGAAGTGGGTGATGTTGTTCAGGTGAAGTAAGGGCTGGAGATTCCGGGGATTCCGCAGCTTGTTCGGCCCGCGAACATTACGCGAATGGATAATTAGTTGCCGAAAATGTGTTGTGCGCTCGTAAATATGAGGCACACATGTCGGCTGCCGTTCCTATTGTCGCGGGCACATGTGTTTGGAAGCCCCGACCCGCCCCGCGGAAGCCCCATCCCCTCGGAAATCATTAGAGGGCTCATTATCAGCAGCCGAGTTTGGCGGGTGTGTCCCCCGCATCCTAGCCTAAAAAACTCTGTAAATCACCGAAGCAAAAAACGAACAACGGAACGCACAGCTACTTTCTTTTCGAGGGAGATCCTCGAGAGCCAACGAAGAACCCATAGTACTTTCTGCCTTAAGCACGCGCCTAATAAATAAAAATTATTACCTTCATAATTAGTGGAGGAACATGGCGATGGCGATGGCGCCGTCGAATGCGTGAGCATAATTACCATCCAGCTTTTACGCCCGTGTCTGCACCCTCCGAACAACACACACATCTCAGTTTCATCCCCATCCCCCAGCTCATTGGCATCCCATCTTAACACTCGGAGAAACACTGAAGGGATTCAAAACCGTGTTTGAATATTTTAATTCTTAACTTAATACTCCAAAGCCAGTCCAAATTATATTAAAGTAGGTAATTACTGTATTTTCTATTTAGGAATACGTTTTTTTTAAATACCTTAAACATTCAAAGTATTGTTAAGTAAATTCTCATCTTATTTATTTTTTATTATAATAAAGTCTCTATAACTCTTAATAGAATTTTAATTTTTAATTTAATTAATTTTAAACAAAAATTCGTAAGCAACATTTTATTTCATTTCATAGTTCTGAAGATACTGTGTATCTATTCATAAGATACTTGTGGCTTTTATTCTTTGAATACCCAATTCAAGAGCATTATTATGAATGTGATATTCCAATGCAAATACATTTAAATGCATAACCTAATGGATAGTGGATATCTGCTTTATAAACCTAAACCTTTAAGCTATACCATGTTGCTTACATTCTCCCGGCTTATAATTTAATTCGAGGTCCTATTCGTGCTCGATCTAATTATGAAATACTAGATATTTTTGAGAGTGCACCCCAGCCTCAACCCCACCCGTTCCATATCCATATCCACATCCATGTGCACATCCATCGGATGCCACACACACGGGATTGTGGATTGTGGGGCAATGTTGCCCGTGTGCGAGTGGGTAAATTAGAATCGTATATTCCGGGAGGCGACGACTGTGTTGGCGTTAATGCTCTCAATGGGCTTTCTATGTTTTATTCCCGCTTCGTGCCGATGTTTTTCGTTTTGGTTTTTGTTTTCTTTTGGTTTTTTTAATACTTTACTACCACTGGCACTCCGCCCCCGCCAAGTCGTAGACAAAGTGGCAGAAACATGCATAATTAATTTATGCCCCTCCGGGCGCTTCTCCCCTGCTCATTTCAGCAATTAATCGAGGAGAAGGATTCGCCCGAGGTTACGCTGGCGCATCCCAAGGCGAAGGAGTGGATCGTCTCGATGGCGAAGGCTAATTACCAGGAGCTGGCCAAGATGGCCAGCGAGTTCCCGGAACTGGTTAAGCTGCAGGTAAGCCATTCTTTGATTTCCCAGCCACTTTCCACCCACGCTTTTCTTTGCCACTAACAAATGCGACAAGTACAAACTATTCATAAGCATTAATTACGACAAATTAAGCAGCAACGCGTTGTTTTTGCCATGTCGAACAACACTTAAAAATGCGAGGAAAATATAATAACGACAACTGAGGGACTGGCCAAAAGGGGGCTACAGGGGGGCGTGGCACCGGGGGCTGTTGTCGCATAGCGAGCGGAAAAAGCAGCAACGCCAGCCGAGGCGACAATTAATTGTGAAATATGTTTTCAGCATTTTTAGCACTTGTAGCGCATGTTAAGAAGTGGGCGTGAGCGCGACTCCGGACAACATAGGCCGTACGAATCGCCCATAGATATAGACGTAGATGTATGGACTGCCATTGGGCAACCACTGACGAGTGATCTGGCTGAGGATCGGGATGGGGAGCGGGATGTCTGGAAGCGACAGACACAAACAAGCTATTTCCATTTTTTCGCACTGCTGTTTAACACAAACTTTGTTGTCAGGGCATAATTAAAACTTATAAACTTAAAAAGCTAACCGATAGTATTTGAAACACTTGTTATATAGGTGTAAGTTACTTAGTTCTTTATATCTAAGGAGCTAAATGATAACAAGAATAGTATTTCAATCGCTTGCTGCAAAGGTCCCGCTTAAAAGCTACTTGATAGTATCCGATTTCGACTGCTTATATCATTGCTTTATTTTGCCTAGATTTTGTCATCAAATCAATAATAATATATAAGAAAGAGCTTCGTAGCACAAGCAAAATCTATAATTAAGGTATTTTTTTCATCGTTTTTTTACAACATGTCGTTTTTCTTTCTAAAAGCAGCCACAGAACTCAAAGTAATAATTTAGGTATTTTTTACACATGCAGTTCCTTTGATTTATTGGTTTTTTAAGTTTTCGTTCTAAATTAAGGGTTTTTAAATTATTACCTGTGCTTATTTTAGGAATTGTTAATTGTTGGTAATCAAAAATGTTTTGACACCATGTTTGAATGCATTTCCCCTAACTTATTGCGATGGAGAAATTTTGTTTTAAAGGATCATAAATAATAAAAAACCAGGGCTACATTTCTTAGGCGAAGATTATTTATAGTGACTTTGGGGATGTTAAGACTACACAGGAAGAAATTTATGAATATATGAGAAAGTATAATAAAGTAATATAGAATTCTTTAGAAATATTTGTATTTGAGTGTAATTTTAATATGGAATACTTTAATTACATTTCTAATCCTAAACGCAATGTTTAAATATCTGCGGGATATCAAGACGGGTATTCCCTAGTCCATCACCCCTAGACAAGTTTTTTACATTTATTTATGACGTGCGTGTGACCCCACTCAAATTGGGGAAAGAGCGAGTCCCAATTCTCGAGGGGTCGCCGCAAATGAGACATGGAAAAATGGCTCCGCTCGCGACATCTCGAGATTGGGATTGGGATTCGTGCGGGCTGAGTGTGAGAACTCAATATACGATCCCCGCCAGATTTACTGGCCGTGTTCGCTGGCTGCGGCTCTGCCTGCGGTGCCTCTCAATTAGACAGCGTTTTTGGCGTTTTGTACGGCCCCGGGTATTTATGTCCCATATAGCCAGCGATGATACTGGGGCGTCGGCCCCGTTGCAAGATGATTTATGCCGTCCGCAGAGGAACATGGGCCCCAGGGTCCGGGTCTGCGGCGAAGGCGTGGTATATTATGTTCGCGAGCGGACTAATTGCCGTACAAATGCACTGTTCCCGGAAATAATGAATTCCGCACTCTGCTCTGCATACGCAAACGCAAACGCATGTGTACCAGTGCGAATGCGGTTGCAAATCTTGAGGGCCATAAGTGCAATCAATTAATGAGCCGGCACCCCGGAGGCCCTTGGATGAGCAACTGCCAACTGGCAGCTCATTTGCGGCGCTTCCAATTCCTTGAATCACTGAAATCGCAACGAGACGGAAATAGCCATAAATCAGACCGCGATTGCCACTTAACCTAATGCCTCAAGTTCCTTCGGGGGCCCCGAAAACAATCTGACTTCTGCTCATTTGCGAAATGTGAATGGCCGAAAAACGGTTTTATCTTATGAAATTTTGAAGTTCGCTGGGAGCTAATCTCTACACTATTAGGTAAAGATATTTCTAATGGAGCATGATATTGCTGTTAATTATGCAATAAATTAACTTACCTAGCCGTCAAAGCTGGAATTTTAGTGTTCCTTGAAAAAAACATTCCAAATGAATAATACAAATTAGGAAATCTCTTAGAATTGAGAAATATTTTTTAAAAATATTTTCAAATGGTTTGAAACCAAAAAGTCCAAACTAGTAGAGCTGATCGAGTTAAATAAATATAAAGTTAAAATAAAACATGAAATATTTAAAATAAAACATTTATTGAAAGCTACAGTACTTGCATATATATCTCAAAATGTTTTTGAAACCAACAAAAAGATATTCCCAGTGAAATCTGTCCAGTGCCCAAAAGTTCCAAGTTATGCAGATAGATTCAGTTACACTTGTATGCTAACAGGATTATGTACAATGTCCGGACTCACATGCCGACAATTTACATATGTACGCGTATGTAAATAAATGGGCGAGAATTGTGGAGAAACTCCAAAAAAATATTCCCCAGTCATCGGCGGCGGCAGGGTGAACAAAAAAAATATTTTTAATTTGAATAAGTAATTCGTACAACGGGCCAAAATCAAAAAAGAAACAAGTCGAAACAAATGCGAAACAAGGAAAATTCAATTTACCCGCATGTCAAACCGAATTGCCGGCTAGGTCAAACACGTTGATGGATGGATGGACGGAATGGATGCACGGTTGGTCGGATGGAGGGATGGAGGGGACCGGGGTCCGAGTCCAAAACCCACCAGCAACACCAAGAGCACACCAGCAACATCACGGCACCAGCAACGTCGACAAGCTTAAATTGCAAAACGGTGCATGCTTGTCTATTTGGGGCGGTCCCACCGCCCTACCAAAATCGGATGGACTGGAAACAATAGACAAACCCGCGTTCAAATGGGGAAAGTCCAACCCACACACCGTACGTATATATTTATATAGAGGAGCACCTGAATGGCAAAAGGAGCTGCGGCAGGGGAACAAAAAAATATATATAACTCGGTAAAAGTACACACACGAGCCGAAGTTTTTAATTAATACAAAACTTGTAACATTTTATAAGCCGCTACTACATATTAGCAGCGACCGGCGTTTTGAATATGCACATACGGATACGTCCACCTATGTGGCTTTTATGCCCGGACAAGGGCATTCCATCAACCCATGCCATTCCGATCCGAAAACATTAGGCACTCTGGATTGGCTGTGGATGCGGATGTGGCAGTGGATGTGGACTTGTGGATGGCATGCCCAGGTGGACTATTTAACCGAATTCAAATGTGCATGTCCGTTTACACAGAGTCATGTCCATGACTGTGCACCTAACCCGTGGTGCGGCAGTGGTGCCGGGTACTACTGATGCCCCGATGCCGGTGCCATGTTGCCAGTGCTTGATTGCTGATGTCGTATGCCAGAAATTTAATTAAACTTGGGATACAAACAACCTCAAGCGGCTGGACAAGCCCATATTTGAGTACGACTACATTTCAGGCAATCGCCGGCCACGGCTCTCTGTGTTCCGCAATAATGTGTCTGGGTATTAAAATACATGCAGCATTTTGAGTACTCAAATTCATAATAATAATAATATTAGTTATGTATACCATATATTATCTTAATATTATTAACAAATCTTTTAAAAACTATGGCGACTCTCATATATAAAATAAAATACTTCACTTTATGGCAAATATAAAGTTTGTTTAAGTTAATATATATCTAAAAATACTTATTACCTTGTATTTTATAATTAAACTTCTTAAAGGTTATTTCATTTTCATATAAGTTTTTATATATATCATATGTTGTAAGATATTAACATTTAAAATACTTGTACTTTCTTTAATACTATAAGGTTATTTCTTCATTAGTATATATTATAATGTGACCAAATTAAATTTCTGCTAAGGGTATTGAATTTTCAATAGTTCATATTGAAGTCAAATATTTTTAGCCGTGGATTATATCTATCGCGTTTTTATTAATTGTAAATAATGTATTATTTAGAGTTATCAACATTTAAATTAATGTTATAATATAATATAATATTATTAACAAAATAAATATTATTAAGATTTTTTTTTATATATTCAACCTTGTTCAAATATGTTTAATATAAATCATGGTTTTAAATGTTTTGAATTGTATATATTTTTATTTAATATTATTATGATTTTAAATTTTAATTTATAAATTTTTCATTTATATTACTATTTATTTAATACTTTTTTCTATATCAGTGTATAAATATTTGATATGAAAAATGGGTTTATCCTTTTTACGGCATCTTTTAATTGAATAATACCAGTGCAAATCGCACAAAGTGCCATTAAAAACGCAAGATCTAAGGACTGTCTTCAAAGTCCGTCTGGGAAGTCTGCTCACATCGTGACCATGAACTTTTCAACAGGTCGTCCACAGAGGCAATAAAACGTCTGACACCTTTGACAGTCCCTGCGGCACTCTGAGAAATTCCCCTATTCCTACAGTAGTGCCTCTGTATGTCAGCGGCGTTGGTGGCGCCTTGGCCAAGTGGCAAATGATGATATTCCCCCCGAATGGAGGACATCAAACCAAACGGCGGCTTGTGTGAAAGATACTTTCCATGGGTGTCATTAAATCGAGGTGACAATTCAATCAACAATCCGCCCGGACAAACACCGGCGAAAACGGCTGTGCGGCTGTCAAATGAGTGAAGCCTTTCCAGAAATGAAATCAAAAGTGTTTACGACGTCTGCCACGTTGGTGGCTCAATTTTATGTCGCTGCGCAGCTATTAAATTTAATTAGAGCTCTGTGTCGTCGCTGCCGCCGGTGGACGTGAACGCATAAATGTCTTCAAAA